GGTAGTACTCCTCTTGGCCAACAGTACAAATGGGTCATTCTGGAACATCATGTAAAAACCAAGTTCAGTAATGCTACAGAAGAAAAATTTTTTTCAAGTAAAACTTTATTCTCCATCTCCCCAACTTTGATATTAATATCATGTGATTTCCAGAGATTTTGATTTCCATATACAGTTATATTAATCCCCAGGTATATAATAAATGTTGAAAGATTTTGAAGAATCAGCTTCATCCCCATTTGCCATTATATTTTTAATGAAAGAATAAAATTTTGGTGAGTAGTTAAGGAAATGAATCCAAATTCCAATTATACCAGTATCTTCAACTTAAAAAAAAATCCCAACAAAAAAGCTGGAACAGTGCTTTTCAAACTTTACACACAAATTGCCTAGGGGCTTTGTTAAGACGAAGATTTTGATTTGATAGATCTGGGGAGGGCCTGAGATTCTGCATTTCTAACAAGATCCCAGTTATATTTGTAACTGTATAATGAGGAGCAAGGACTCAGAAGACCCTTTTAAGCCCTTGTGAATTTAAGCAAAACATTCATTTTAACATTTCTTTATAAGCCAATTTGCAGACAGCCAGGCTAGTTACCTAACTGCTCTAGGGTTAGGGACTAACTCATTAAACACTAAGGTGTCATTGATTGTTAGCTGAGTCATTACTTTATATGTTGCTAAGAAGGGAAATGCTGATGATTAACTATAATGCATCCTGATTTCAGAAACATTAAAATATAAGTTTTAGAACTGAAGAAATATAGTGGTTTCTCTGATTTCTTTCCAGCTTCCACAATGACTGTTTATTCTCTGCTAGGTACTTTTTCTTTGAAGTAAGTATTATGATTATCTAATTTTATAGAGGCTTGGAGTGAAATTGTTTTAAATGGCATAGCTAGAATTTGAACCCAGATCTCCATGACTGAGAACTCATGCTCTCAACCTCTACTGCATAGGAGGGGCTGTTGTCGCTGAGGAAAATGCTTCCCTGTGCTGTCTCCCATGTTATTCACTTAAGGTAACTGCACCTACAATACTATCTGTGACTGCTGTATTTCCTATTTAAACACATCTTTTTCAACCTTGCTTCTTGTATTCATCACTCTACTGAAGTGGTTTGTCTTGAACTCAGCAGTGACCTCCTTACTGCCAAATCCAGCTATCCTTTCTGTCAATTTGAATTTTCCTCAACCTAATCTCCATCTAACATAACCTACCTTTTTCTCCTTGAAACTCTCTCTTCTATGTTTTTGAGTAGCTTGCTATTTATGTTGGATGCTTCCCTGGTTAAGAGTAAATCATATTTTGGCTAATGTACTTATCATTAGCTCTTTCCTTTGCAACCTGTATCAAAAATGTATGAGAGGAACCCAGGAGGTCTCCAAATTCTCACTGAATGAAAGTGATGAATTTGGAGGTTCAAAACAAACTATGTCTTTGAAATTATGGATCTTGCTAGAAACGTCTCTTCTTTGCTCCTACTTTGTGCATATTTTTATTACTGAGTTTACAGTGTTATATTCATTACATTCATTTGTCTTTGTATTCTACTTGACTGAAATCCTTGTAGATGGAGACTGTGTTTTATTTCCGTTCCTCCAACCTTTGTTCAATGCCTTGCGCATAACTGATTCAATACTGCTGAGGCAGGACCACAATTCACTATTTTAGTGGCAAAAGAAACCATTTCTTGATAACCTTGTGTTGCAAGGAAATGTCACTTATGAGGCCTCTAGCCCCAGGAATAGACCTGTCAGAATGTAGCAGGGGGCTGTGGTGATGTCCTTTCTCTTTTTCACATGGAGACCTCATAGGTCCCAGATTGAAATTACTCTTGGATTATTTGCTAGTTTTTGGTAGCAAATTTGGAGGTTCTAATTTTTTTTCACATATGAGAGTAAAATGAACCTTTGTATTGAGGATGAAGTCGCCTATTGGGAAAAAACCCACCAACAAATGTCACCCTATAATGTCATTTATAAAACCATTGGATCAAGGACTGTATGGCTAAAGGTTCTGTCAAGAAATGGTTCTCAAGAAGTTTGAAAGGGTTTCTTCTCTGTAAGTGCTCAACTTGTCCTCCTCAGGGAGCTTCCTTTCCTCATAGCATCTAACTTCCTTTTCCCAGCTAGGACTAACAGGCTGTAAATCTGGAGAAAATTAGGTTCCCACCATTTTGGCCTAGCATGATGGTCTCTTGTCATTCCCCTGCTTGCTGGGTCACTTGAGTTAGATTTGATTCAGTTCATTGTCTGCTTCTGAAGCCAGTCACATAAATCCACAATTAATGGTAATTAAGCCATGTGACAAAGCTGGTTTTTTTTTTTTTTAAAGAAATCAAATTGAATTTTTTTTGAAAGAGGGCAATGACATAATCATTGACCCTGCCATAAATAATTGTACTGCTTGATTTTAGAGTCCATTGTACCTATTTCTCCTTCTGTCTGTCAAATGATTTTTGTTCAGTTCAAACAGCACTTTTTTAAGCCACTAATTTGTCTGAAGAGCTGTCGATGCAGAATGTTTAAAAACAACCCAGGTAGCCGCGGAGGCTAGAGAAGCAGTGTGATGGAAATGCCAATAGAGGGCACTGGGCTATTTGCGATAACTTTGGAAGGACTGGGGAAGTCCGTTAACCAGCCTTTCAGTGAGGAGGGAAAAAAAAGGTACACAACATTTTTTATCCCACTAATTCTGTTATGAGAACAATGGAATTTTAAAAAGTGATAATGGAAAAATTCATCTTTGAAAGTTTTCAATGCTGGCTGTTGATCAGTTACAAAGAGGTTTAAAAAAATTTTTTTAAAAGATTTTATTCATTTACTCATGAGAGACACAGATAGAGAGTGAGGCAGAGACACAGGCAGAGGGAGAAGCAGGCTCCATGCCAGGAGCCAGATGTGGGACTCAATCCCAGGTCTCCAGGATCACAGCCTGGGCTGAAGGCAGGCACTAAACTGCTGAGCCACCCAGGGATCCCAAGTTACAAAGAGCTTATACAACCTAACAAGCACACATACTCTCTTGATATACTTTTCCTGATATATTTCAGTTTGCCTGTGGGCAATGGTAAAGTAGTTAAATTATTCAAAGATCAGGTTTTCGAAATAATTTGACTCTTTTTACTTTGTGAGAGATAGTTGGAATAAAAGAAATGCTGATTATGCAATATCTGGTTTCTAAGGAATATTGTTTTTCTCTCTAGAATTCTGATTCCCTTCCTCCATTCTTTCCTTCCTATCTTCCTTCAGAAGTCCAAGTGGGTGCTTTGTTACTATAATCTTCTTTAGGGGAACTGATTGGTAAGCTTATTATTCCTGTTCCTTCCCTTGATGTCTTTGGATATCAAGATTGACTCTTGTCACTTGCCTTATCTTCTCTCCTTTGTCAGAGATCTCAGTTGGAAAAAATTAGGAAGGAGGTGGAAAATGGAGGAATCTGGAGCAGTGGAGGTTGAATAAGTTTGGAAAACATATTCAGTAGCTTTCTGGTTGGGTTCCTTCCCTTTCCCTCCAGCCGCCCCACCCCAACCCCAGGCACCTGCTTTAGTCATGTGGCCAAACCTCTTAATTTTATTCCTAGGAATTTTATTCCCTTTTCACTCTGTATACATCTGTCCAATACATTTTTAGACCTCTGATATTTGTTGTCTACTAAAATTGTTTCAACTTTCTCTCTTCAGATAATGCATCATGGTTACAGCTCGGTGAGTAAGTAGGTGATTTTCATTGCTAAAGGTTTAAAGAATCTAATAAAAACAATTTACATATATAGTATCAGGACTTACAAATTGGTTATAGCAATATAAATGTGCTTAGACATGGAATGTTTCATTTTCCCTTTGAATTCATCTGTACTTTTAGTTAAACCAATCTCACCTGTTCTGAAATAGTTAAAAATTTATAAAGCCTCACTCATATAACTTCAGTGGATTCTTAGACTCAAGTTCTTTAGGGGTAATAATTTATCTTGAATAATTTATTTTGAAAAGAGTCATATGACTTAGGATGTTTGTGAGGTAATTAATTCATGTAAAATTAGTGGCAGATAATGTGGATTAGGGCAAGCCAGCTGAAACAGAGATTGAAGATATCCATAAAGGAAAAGTTTGAGAAAAGAAAAATTTGACCCTCAGAGTAAGCAGCAGGCAGAAGGATGGAGAATGGGGAAAAGCAAATAAGAGATATACGGTAAGATTTGTTTTTGAGAATTTAAGAGTGTACTTGTGAAATAAATATAAGAAAGATAATTTATGGAACATGTAAATGAATATAAAAAGGCAAGGAAAGATGAATTATTCCCGTCTCCTGAGACAGTAAGAAATGGGAAAAGGATTAAAGTAATGTTAAACTTAGGACTTTTCATAAATTTCCTCCATTCCTAAAGCACATCTATACTTTGCTCTGAAAACCTAACGCATTTCAACTCTCTAGCTAAAATGCCTTAATGCAGGTTTTTTTATAATGAATTTCCAAATATATCCTTCACTATACCCCGGATTACTGCTTTTTTATAGGCAATCAAATCATATTGGTCAGATTGATATGCAAAGAGGATCTCTCTCTTTGGATCACATATGATTGAGACTTGGTGTAAGCTCTTTAAATCTGAATTCTTATCCTCAATAGGATTCCATTTTAGATGCATCTTTTTACTAATAACCACTGGATACCACTTGTGTCAGTTTTGTGTTCAGTCTGGGACTGCATGGAAGCATAGCCATTGAAAGCCTGTTGTGCTTTAAACCTTTGACTGTGAAACAGGGAAGCTTAAATCATCACCCTGCCTCATTATTAGTAGGGCTCCTAAACCTGTTTCAGGCATGGTTTTTGCAGATGTTAGATGCTCTGGAAGATGTGTTGCCGTGCACACCAGTAGGTCTACCACAAGACCTATGTCCTAGGATGTACATGGTTCAATGATAAACAGGATCATAGAGTGTGATGGACCACTTAGCAGGGTTTTGGTTTTAGAGATCTAGGAGACTTGCCCAGCCAAACCTTAAGGGGGCTTATCACAGGCTGTTTTTACAATGATTGTACAGAAAAAGGAGGCAAAATAAATCCACTCATATACACCATTGCCCAGACCCTTTGCCTGTATTGTGAATGGGGGGACATGGAATTGAAGGAAAAAAATAAATTAAAAAAATTAAAAAAATAAAGGAGAAAAAAGAAAAACCCTGAGGCTATCAGGCTCAGTGGTCTCAGGTAATTGGCATATTATCTTTGGGAGGCTGGGACACTGAGGGCAGTGGTTGTAGGTTAGAGGTAGGGGGATGCTGATTGTAGGAACCAGAGAGGTTTCCCTCTTGGTGGAAGCTTAGAAGATTTTGGGGGATATGACAGATGCTTTGATTTTGGAAGTAAGACCTACAGTAGATAGAATGGAGTACAGTCCTTCAACTAAGCAGCTGAATGCTTGGGAGAAGGGGAAGGTTGGAGTCATTAGTTGGCATTTTTGTAGGAGTATATACTGTGTAGGCAGTAACACTAATAACTACATCTTTGCCCCTTCCTTCTCCTGAAGGCTTGGGAGGCTGTCTTGACAGTGCAATAAGGGGGTACCTGGGTGGCTCAGTTGGTTAAGCATCTGCCTTTGGCTCAGGTCATGATCTCAGAGTCCTAAGATCGAGCCTTGTCTCAGGTTCCTGCTCAAATGGGAGCCTGCTTCTTCCTCTCCCTCTCACTCCTCCTGCTGTGTTCCCCCATTCTCTCCCTCTCAAATAAATAAAATCTTTTTTATTTTTAAAAGAAAGTGCAATAAGAAATGAGTAAAGCCGAGTATTCTACCTTTTAGGTAGGAAAGAAGTCTTGATGAGGAATTATCACCATTTCCAAGAAAGTCATGATAAAGAAATATGCAAAACTAGTAGTGAGAGGGTATCTGAAGGGAGAATGTTTTTGGGCAGTACCGGTGCCTACAGCTCCTTCTCTCCACCAGCTCTTGGCAGAATGTTTCTGACTTTGGCTGGTTGCAGCTGTGGCTAATTGGCAGTAAAGAAGCAATAGGAGACCACTGGGTTGCTGCAGCAGCAATAAACAACCTCTACTTTTTGTACCAGAAACCTTGACCTTCAATTACTTGTGGGTTCTTAGCTTCAGCCCAGATGGCTGAAGCTACTTTACATATGACCTTTGCATAAATGTGATACTATTGTGTATATTTTAAGGATTTGGTAACCAAAATACATAAATCTATTCCTAGACACTCAAACTTATTAGTTTGGTATATGAAATGAAAGATAAATGAAGAAATGCATATTTGATTTCAGATTAATTAATTGAATGGAAGGTAGAAAAATGAAAATGTATTAACTCTAACAGTAGCTTTAAATGGAATAAACTATGGACTTTTCAAAGGATTATGATTACCCTTAATCATGCCAAAATGAAGCTTGAAGCAATTATGGGTAATACAGATGTATTATTAATACCAGCTGAAACCCAGGTTTTGATTATAAGAAAACAGACTTTCAGCAGATGGTGAACTTAAGTGTTCAACTAAATCGAAGTTTTTAAATACAGAAGATGTAGGGAGCATTTCTGCTTGATGAACCCAGATTTTTTTCTACACAGGGAACACATCGAAATTGGAATTATCTCAGTGATCTTTAAATGTGATTCTATTCTTTAGAACTGTGCCTTTATTTTTCTGATTCTCAAGTTTATAATTTTTCCAATGCATTGTGCTTGCTAAGCTATGACAGACATTGGAACATTTTTTTTTTGACATGTGCAGACATCTGCTCATTTTTCTCTTCCTTTCTTAACCTTTCTTTTTTATTTTTAAAGATTTATTTATTTTAGCGGGGGGGGGGGAGAGACAAAGGAAGGGGAGAGAGAGGATCCCAAGCAGACTCCCTGCTGAGTACGGAGTCTGACAGAGGGCTCAATTTCACAACCTTGAGATCATGACCTGAGCTGAAATCAAGAATCAGACGCTTAACCAACTGAACCACCCAGGTGCCATTCTTTCTTAACCTTTCTTAATTCTCCTATGGGAAGTGCCTGGATTGTGGTGGTACTGATGGGCACCATGGTGGATGGGAGACTCTTGCTACAGCACTGGGACCCCCATATGAATCTGGGGGAAAGAAGTAGGACAAATGGATGCACTGAAGTTGGTGGAGGTAATAGAATAGTTTCTTATAGTTCAACAAGGGCAAGAGGGAATCTTTGATTTGTTAAGTTCAGTTAGAACTGCAGACCAAGGTTAAGGATGTCAGCACTGTTATCTCACCTTTTGGCTTCAGTATTCTAGAACAGGGTGTCTGCCATGCTTTTTTCCCATTCCTGCTAATAAGAGGAGCAGCATTTCCATGTCAAGAAGTGGAAGGGGTGAGAGACCAGAGCCCTACCTTGGGAAATCACATTATCTTTCATCAATTAGGTAATTGTGTTTTATAAGAGTATATGATTTGAGTTTCAAATAAGTATAAAACAAACCAGTGGGAAGAGTTTAGCTGCAAATATACAATGTAACTTTTTGAAATAGGGGAATGATACAGAAAACAACAGTAAGATTGAGAGAGAAATAGAGAAAGAAATGATAAGGATTAGACTATTACCTGAAAATAACACACAGGTGTATACTAACCACCCACAAATTCATGAGGCCTTTCCTACAGCTTCACACTGGATGCTATCTTTAGGAAAATATATGTGGAGATTACTGATTGGGGATGAAGGGAATTCCCTAAAATGAGTACACACATTTTATTTTAGAACACTTTATTAGTTAAAATTAATCATTATCAAGGAGAGAGAAGACATGGTTTCTTCTTTTAAGAAATATATCTTGTCAGAGGAGAAAACAAGGACAAATATAAACAAGACATAAAATAACTAATATTCATTAAACACTTATTTGCTTGGGAACTAGTCTAAATATACCATCACAACATACAGGTTTGCTTATACAGTACGCCATGTTATTTGCATATACCATATTTGTTACAACACTATGAACTAGGTACTATCATATATTTTACTGATAAAAACTGGAGTTAAGAGGTTAAATAGCTTGCCCAAAGTCCTATCAATTAAAAGACCCAGGATCTGCATCTAGGAATCTGATTTCAGGTACTGAACTCTTAGTCACTGTGCTTTACTATTTCATTGGCAACTCAGTGCCCTTTTGTTGCTCATTAGAGAATAACTCATCTTTATATATGCCTACTGGTTGAACAGCTGGAACATGAAGGCTTGTCAGCTTGGCTTGGCTGATAAGAGTCAGATTGGGCTGAAGAGGAGTGGCTTTATGACCAAAAGTTGTTTAAAGAGGCAGGAAGAAAATATGAATTGGTCCTATACAGAGGCAGTTGAATAATTTCCTGGGTTGATTCCATGTCTTAATTTCCTCTTTTTTTAGAAAGCAATTTTCTTAATTTGCTAGACCATCCTCTAATTAAGGGGCTCACAGATGTTTATTCATTATATTAAAAATGCAAGTTTTAATGGTGCAGTCTTAAGAGACTCAAACAAGTAACAATTAGCTCTGTGGCTCTAGGCCAAGCAGTGTTAATGCCCAAATTCATCTAATATTTCACTTGGCCAGACTGTAGGATGGCATTCTCCTACAGTAATTTTCCTTGCATCTTGATTTTCTGCAGTAAATGGCTCTACCAAGGAAATGGGCCACTATCTGAGCCTTCTTCCTTCTACCAGTTGATTTTAATGACACTTGCGTCTTTCCCATAATTTCCTAGAGTTGCTTAAATAGAAATTATTCATCTATTCATTCATTTAGCCATTTAGTCCTTCCTTCTCCCTTTTTTTCTCCTTCCTCTTCCTTGCACTCATCCTTCTTTTCTCCTCTTTCACGCCCTACCACAATTTTTTCCTTTTCTCTCTTTAACAAAAACTGTTAGGTTCTCAAGAAATGCTAGGCCTTGCTCTAGTACTATGAGGGATGGATAGATAGATAGAAATGCTAGGCCTTGCTCTCAGTACTATGAGGGATGGATAGATAGATAAATGATACTATGATTGATATTTTTTATCCATTTCATGAATATTTATTCAGTGCCTATTGTATGCCAGGCTCTATTTTATAAGCTAGGAACAGAGTTTGGTTCACAATAAAGTTTGTTTTTCTCAGTAAGTTGTATTCCGGGGTATGTACTGGGGAGATAGATAAAAAATATATATATATCATATGTCAAGTAGTGATAAGAGCTCTGAATAAAAATAGAGAATGGAGAGAGATGTGATGGGGAATGTATCATTTTTACATAGGCTGGTCTGGGAAGTGCTCTCTGACATGATGATATTTGATCAGGAAAACATTTATCTGAGGGAAAACCAAGTACCAAAGCCCTCAGGGAATTAATTTCTGAAAGAAAAAGGTATAAAGGTAAATAATTTTAACAGAAAGTAGAAAGAGTAAGTGCTGTAAGGGTGTATTAACGAAGAGCCACTGAACTTGGTAAGTTGGAAGGAAGGGGACATGACTGTCTGCTGGGGAGGTGGTGCTGTGGAGAGCAAGCCCCACTTCCTAAGGGGTAACTCAAACACTCTAATGCCTCATGGCAGAGCCTTTTTCCCAGGACTTTTCTTGAAGAAGGACCATTCTCTTCAGTTATGAGGCAGTTAGGCTACATACCTAACCAAGGTGCCTTTGGTTAGGATGCCGAGATTCTAAGGATGAAACAAGTTACATCATGTGTTCACTTTTTCTTTTTCTTTTTTAAAATTTAAATTCAATTAGCGAACATATAGTAAATAATTAGTTTCAGAAGTAGTATTCATTAATTTATCACTTGCATGTAACACTCAGTGCTTATCACATCATGTACCCTCCTTAATGCCTATCACCCAATTACTGCATCCCCCTATCCACCTCCCCTGCAGCAATGATCAGTTTGTTTCCTACTGTTAGGACTCTCTCATGGTTTTTCTCCCTCTCTGATTACTTCCCATTCAGTTTCCCCTCCCTTTTTCTATGATCCTCTGTACTGTTTCTTATATTCCACATATTAGGGAAACCATATGATAATTGTCTTTCTCTGATTAACTTATTTCACTCAGGATAGCACCCTCCAGTTCTATCCCTGTCAATGTAAATGGTAAGTATTCATCCTTTCTGGAATAATATTCCATTGTATATTTATACCACATC